TACTGTTACTCTCTCTGACTTCTGAATTTCATCTTCTCTCTTAGACCTTCAGGACACGTTAGACTGACTTGAATATCTGAGTGTCAACATGCTACACTCACCCCACTTTAGACTGCCATAGCTTTGTGTTCATGACTTCCTGTGACATTTGTACTTGTTATTTATTTATTTATTTGTTTTTATGAGGGTTCTCTGTACTGGTTCTCCGGGAGGGGAGAATGTCAGCAAAGTTCACTGTCCACTTGCATCACATCACCCTTGAGCATCCATGCTGGTGATCAGAAAAGAAATCAAATGGTGGTCTTTCTTTTTCAGTATTTGAAAACTTTATTCCCACTTCCGATTAACTGAGTGAACCTCTTAACATTTCCTGGAATTCATATCTTTATCATAAATCCTGTAGTATAATGAAGCTTTGCTGCATTTTACACAAACCTGCAACTTTTTTTTGAGAAAGACAAGTAAAGTTTGGTGAGCTTGAAAATGAGTTAATTTTCATTTTGGAGAATGTCCTTTTTAACCGCTCAGACTTATTCACTTCTTACACATTTTTTTCACGATAGACAGATCAGTGATTATTTATATTTGAGTAACTCAGATCATTAGAGAGTGCCATTTCTGCTTACATGGTTGAATCGGAAAGTGGAACCAGAGAGGCAGTGCAAGTTTATTCTGTGAAAAAGTGCTGAAAAAACTGAAAGGAAAGGAAATGAGAGGTTGATGAACAGCATCAAACTCCATGAGCTTTTGTCACTCAAGTGAAACATTCTTAGCCGAAAATGTTAGTAAAAATCCTGCTGATCCTTTTTCTGAGGTTTTCCACATCCACCATACTTCTGTGAGTACCTGCTCTGTTTAAACAGCCTGGCTAGGTTTGGAAAACGAAAAACTTGTCTTGTACTGCTCAGTTTGACCTAACACAATAGTGCCCTTCAGAAAAAAAACACTTCTCACAACATCTCATCATTTTTAAATCTCAATTGTAAAGTATGACATGTTATGAGTTATATTATTCCTATTTGATCATTTCCGAATAACACATTTTTGAAATCCATTGAAATCCAGGTTTGATGATGATATCACTGCCTTCATTAGAAAAGAACATTGTTCCAGATTACTTGCTTGTTTTTATTGAATATGAAAACACTGAAGATATCACCGTCATATAGAAGGTTTGTAAGAGTGACAATAGCTAAACAGTAAAATGCCAGCTCAGAATAGTTAGCTACAACAGAGATGGAATATTGCAATTACTGGGGTCGCTCATAAAGGTGCAATGGAAAATTATTTCTACAACACCTTAAACACAATGTTCAATAGAAAGTTTGCTGTCAGTGTCCACAAATCCTGTTTTTAAACAAAAACATTCAGGATGTCTTAAAAGCTGCCTCTGCAGGAGCACCATTAACAGAGTAAATCATGGACGAACAATAATCCACCATCTTCAGGGGATTATGCTGCAGATTTCCAGGATGCATATTGATGAGCAACATCAAGTCCATCAGTTTCATCATTAGTTTTATGATTTATAACTTGCACTTCTCTGTTTGTTAAGAAGATCTTGAAAGTCTGTGAGCCAAGCTCACCCATGCATTTGCTGGGCCACGCCCGTGGGGGGATGTGAATGATCAAGGGACTGAACTGACATATTGCGTTATCCATTCAGATGGAAGAGTCAGAGAAAAGGTACGAGTAACAAGGCGAGGTGAAGACAAGAGAGGATTGAGGAGAAAGGGAGAGGGGTATTTTAAGGAGAGGAGAGGGAAAGTCACAAACTATAACGATCAAGAAAGGAGGTGGAAAATAGCAGCAATGGCATGAGATTCCTGACACTTGCTTTGACGTGTTCCCTATGTTAATACAAACGAAGTAAGCCCTACTGGCAGTAAACAAATTATTTTTGATATTGAAGTCAATTTTAAAATTTCTGCAATCACTATTTTCCACTTTGAACGATAAATTCATCTGAATGAATCCAATCACACAATTCAGTTAAACTATTGAGTCAAAGGCTGTTTTTTAAACAGGTAGTAATTATGGAATTGTGGTGTTTGTGACTCCACCGAAGCTGCGTGATGCACACACTCTACACAAGTCATCATGTACCGCTATAACCTTTTGTGGGTTTTTATTAACGCCTGAATAAAAACTACTGGAGATATTCTCAGACCCTCACTGCACACCGGATGAGAAGATATGTTGTGTCACTTGTTCTGTGAAAGACGGTCCTCAGTATGAAAAGCTACATCTGAGGTCAGAGTCAGGTAATGCCATAAGGCAGCTGCTCAAGTTTGTCTCAGTCTGTTTTTTTCGGTTCTGTTCCTCCCGTAGATGTGGGGTAATTCTGCACCGTCAGTATTGTTTGCATTTCATGCAAGTCTAACTGCAATAAATGACTTTCTATCTAATCTGGAGAATCAGAAGCAACCTGTAAACATAACACTGATACAGACAGTTAAACATTCATCTATTTAGTCATCCAACAAGCATCCCAAATATTAGATGTTGTCTGTCTGACTACCCAGTGAATTTTAGCCTAGTGTTCACAAGTTCAGTTTTGTGTTTTTGGTCCAAACTCCTTATGGGTGAGTCAGACTTTTTAGCCGTTACCTGATGTGTAGTTGTTTTTTTTGTGCTGTTTGGGGATGTGCAGTCAGAGTACAGTTTAATACTCATCTACAGGTTTTGTTTATGGGATGTGGTGTTAATCCAGAGTAATGAATGAAAGATCTTTGTGTGAATCATACTCGTTTGAAATCATACTTCCAAATGTTCTTTTCCCCTCAAATACCTTCTCTTTTGTTCACTTGTGTAAACCAGATCGCCTGAGTCCCCCATTAGACATCCAGCTGGAGACCATCAACTGTACCGCCTTCAGCGTACGATGGAAGATGCCCCGCAGACACGTCAGCACCATCACCGGATACAAGGTGGTCCCAAATACATATTCCTCAGAGTCCTGTGCACATCACAGTGTTGTTGACATTTTCTCTGTTTGCTGTCCTTTGTTAGAGGGTATTTGCAAAGAGTCGTATCTTATAGAAAAAAACAAGCTGGAAACAAAAGATTTAGCTGTTTGGAAGCTCATTTTGCAACACATTTCAGAGCTTTTAGAGGCATTACAGTTACAATTTTTCTTTTTTTTTCCTGAGTTGATGTCCATTTCCTTCTTCAAAACTGCTACTTGGTTCGCACTTCGCACCATCACCTGAACAAGAAGGTTCCCGGTTTGAACCCCGGCTGGGGGAATTTCTGTGTTGAGTTTTCATGTTCTTTGGTTCTCTGTCTCTGCGTTCCAAAAACATGCATGTTTGTTTAAGTGGTGACTCCCAGTTAACTCTGGGAGTGAATGTGCATGGCTGTCTGTCTCTGTGTGGCCATGTGAAGGGCTGGAGACGGGCTCAGGGTGAACCCCACCTCCCGACAGCTGAAACAGGCTCCAGCCCGCCGCCGACTCTAATTGTAATAAGGGGGTATAGAAAATGGATGGATAACTGCTACTTGGTGCCCCTCAGTTTGGACATGCTCACCACTTTGAGTCAGCTGCACTAACTATCTTGTGTTGGGTCACAAACCCAACACAACAAAGTTTCAGTTTGTCTTATCTGACTTTTTTACTTCCCTCCTAATGTTTGCTTCAAATCACCCATTGACAAATTGTAGATTGGTATGACTGAGTGTACTCTTTTGACCATATGTCCACCCTAAGAGGATTAGCCAACCACCCAAAACTGACAACAAGCATTGATTTAGTTAATTGTTTTGTCAAAGTTCAGCAAGGGTGGCTTCAAAGTATTCAGTTTTTGTGAAAATGTTTAAATTGCTGTTATTTTGCCTTGAAAATTCAAAAGCAAAAATATCTGATAAAGATTTTTGATGTGTGTATTGTTCAGGTGTTTTACACAGAAATGAAAAATAGTCGTCCGGCTGGTACAACATCCCTGATGGAGGTGCCCCTCAGTTTGGACATGCTCACCACTGTGAGTAGTCAATGCACAAACATGTAAAAGGGCGTCTTTGTTGTAAACAGTTAAGCTAATTCTGAGGGAAAACACATTAACATGCAAACAAAAAACACCACAAACTGATTATTTTAATTATTTACCTTGTTGTGAGCTGCTTCTGATATTTGTATTCAGCGATGTAAATGCACTAACCTGCAGCCGTAGGAGTAAAAACATTTAGATAATTAATGGAAGAAAGGTGTACCGGCTGGCTTGTCTCATAATTGGCTTTGTATATACAACATTTGGGAAAATGAACCATAGCAATTCTCTGTAAAGGCAGAAAAACCCATATTTTTTGTGTTTTCCTCTGAGACTGAGAAACGTATGCTCTTATCCACATAAATGCAACTGATATTTGAGAAAATAACGATGATAATTACATTATTAATAAGGAGAACAAGAAGTATATATTTTTATAGAATGCCATCAATCAGCGTGAGTTACACCTGCAAAGTGTTTTATTAGGTACGACAGCTACCTCGAGTGTTATTCACACTTCATCTTCTTTGATCTCGTGTTGAAAACTTTGGTCATAATTCATCACTTATTCACAGTTTTAGTGGAGGTTTTTAACAAGAATTATTCATTAGTGCTTCACATTGATATTATCATCTGCCTTGCATGGCAGGATTGATAATGATGGAATAACTAATAAATGGGAAAATATTTGATGTTTTCCATAATTCATAAATCTCATGAAAAGATTACAAGCAACAAGCACATTGTCTGACAAACGACTTCTGAAAAACTCCCTGGTATAGATCTGTTTTTCATGTTTATATCTAAACACTCTCATATATCACTCTGCTTTTCATTTCTGAAAGGGCCAGTTTGATGGACAAGCAAACTTTGTAAGTCAAATTCTTTTCAGTATGTTTTCTCCAACTTTGATTCGCTTCTCTAACGATCGTCATCCATTTTTTAACATTCGCTTTTTAGGATGTGGACATTGGTAACTTGAAGCTGAACACGAGGTACAGAGTCAGTGTCGGAGCATATGGGTGGGCAGGGGAGGGCAGACCCAGTATGCCCAGAGATATCTCCACTGCTTCCCATGGTAAGTGTATGAGAAAAATATAAGCAATTTTATAGAGTATATATATATATATTTCTTTTCAATTTAATTTCTATTTTCCATCAGAAATGTGTATGCCCCCTTCTCCACCGACTCAGCCCGTAGTGATGGCTGTGTCCGACACAGAGTTGGCGTTGTCATGGCAGCAAGGAGAGAATGAAGGAAGTGCGCCCGTTCTTCACTTCCTGGTGGCTTATATCAGGTCAGTGTTAACGGAGCAATCGCGGACTAAAAAAGAAACAATAAAGTTTTACATTTGCGATGCATCTTTCAAAAAATTAATTCTTAGTCCCATGCTGACGTTAGTACACGAACAAAATCAACACATACAAATTAACAAACTGACTTTTGAAAGCCCTGAGCCCTATGAAGGAAGTGGCCTTGGAGGGAAATAGATGGCCTTAATGAAGAACCTTCTTCCACATGTGGCTGAGCAAGAAAAAGGATAAAGTGGGCAACCAATATTAACAGCTTTCTGTTTTGCTCAGTCGATAAACCATTTGCCCTTAGACAAAACTAGACAAGGTTGTGGAAAAGGTTTTTCCTAAAGCACTGCCACTGAAAACACATGCAGGTTGTTTGAAAGGTCCATGTTCCCAAAGTCCCAAAGCTATAGACACCAGTTAGGAGAGATTTCTCATAAACTACTCCATGTAAACATACAAAAATGCATTGGTGCAATAAATGTAAAAAGTGGGATTGAAATAAATTACATAAAAGACTTATAATTTTTTGCTGAAGAATAAAAGAAAGAAATTCATGATTATTGTTGGGAAGGTCTGTAGAACATGCTGTGGTTAATTTAACTCGCACCACTCGTTATTAAGCATTTTCACATTGTTTTACCATCTATAGATCTGTAGGAATGTTCTTTTCCACAATCAATATAGTTATTTTACAAGTTTGAGTCTTCTTACGGTAACTAAAATTGAATATAAACATGTTTAGAGGTTTTTTGCCAGATTACATTTGAATCACAGAAAACCACAATGAACCAATCTGCTTAATTCAATTTTATGTTTTTAACAAAAAACTATGCTTCATATGTACCAAAGTTAAATGACTCTAAGGCAAAACGAGAAATATCTCTTTTGCATTGATTCCACTGCATATTTGCTGGTCTGTTCAATGTAATCATTTCTGTTTTGACCGGAGGGCCTGTGAAGACATGAGAAAGAATGGGTCTCATTCTCTCTCGGTTTTTTGCTTCACACGCACATGGGGTGGCCCACGTCTCGACTGTTATCTGCAGAGTAAAGGAAGTTTAGGTCAAAACAAGTAACTCGGAGTCCTCTAATGATTTGTCAGACATGAATACGTCTAAAAGAGTTTAAAAGGAAAAGGCTGTCGTGAGGATGTTAAATTAAATGAGCATAAAAAAAACACAGAAGGGTTGTTTTTTATGGGATAGACTTAACACTATAAGAGAGGAAAGAAAGAGGAACAGAGGCAGAAACTGTCTCCTGCTCTTAGAGACATGAATCACACTCTGTTTTTGAGCATTTTTCACTGTGAAGGGCCATCCTATCCTCTCTCTTATGAACAGACACCATACATAAGAGAGACACTGAGTATTGTTAAACACGACTATTAAACATATTGCTGCCTAAAGACGCTGGAATTCTAGATATACAAGTATGATAAGAACTCCTTAATGAAGCTATTAAAAAATTAGACAGTGAAATTGATTAATGATATTCTTATTAAATGTAAACAGAAGTTTTTGTGTGAGATTTAATTTGGAAACGTGTCAAACAACAGGCATCTGAATATCTTCATCAGTAACAGTAAATTGATTACATCTGATTTTCCAAAATCATCTCAGAATAATCACACCAGTTCAGCAGTTAACTAGACTCATCGTTTAAGGTTTGTGTGGATGTGAACATGTGGGTCAAAATGTAAAATCAGTTTCACCAGCTGACTCTGCTGTATTTGTTAACTTTTCTGTCTTTGGGTATATTCTTTTTTTGTTGTTTCAGGCCAGAAATGGACACAGAATGGACGTATATCCGAGAGCCGATTGAGACCAACTCCATGGTTTTAAAAGGGTTAATTCCAGAAACAGAGTACCAATTTGTTGTGAGAGCAGTCAATGTACATGGAGTTAGTCCACCCAGCCACATCAACAGTCCCGTACGCACTCTGGGTAAGGACAGTTGTTATCTGCTTGTATCTGAACCTATGAGACCCACAAAATAGTCCCACAGAGCTCCTTCATAAATATACATCTATTTGTACATGCTAAATGTGCTGTATGTATTCATATAGTTTTATATTTTGTACAGAGCAGAATTGAGCCAGTGAAGCGTCACAACATGAAAACTGTTTCTTTTTCATTTTACTTTAGGAAAACAGAAAAAGAAAATGATGATTTCACTACTAATATCCTGTAGAAAAACATAGAAACACAGTTTACCAGTTTGTCTGCTATAAGGCAACAAGTGGAAGGATGCCAGTGGGTCTTTGTTGTAGGGCCTGTTCATGACCAACAGAATCATTTTCATCAATATTTTCACTGTAACATCTTACATGTGGTGGAGATGATGGGGGTGGTCTGTGCTGATTAATAAGAAGCAAATTCATCAGGTGTCTTCCCCACACAAATACAGTCACATAAGACACATACACATAAGATTTATACATTAATCTTATATGATGGAACAAGGACTGTGATATATAGGGAAGACAGTTTTATATCTGTGTACCTTTTATGGGTACATGGAATGGAAGTTTTTGCATATTGGACTTATGGAAGACAATATATTATCATGGAAATGATGCAACACTGTAAGCACAATTACATTATGCACAGCAGTGTGGCAATGCTACCATGAAATATGAAATACTACTAGAAAACATGTTAGAAGTGCATTGTTAACAATCACATAAACGGAAGTTCCCCAGCGCAAGATAAAATGAACCATTTAAAGAGCCACTGCCGAAGAGGCAAACAGTAACAAAGTGACAGAGAACTGTAGTTTCTCAGCAGGGGATAAAAGCGGGTTATGTCCATGTCTCATCAGACAGGATTAAGGAAGAGATGCCTGACCCCTCCTCTGTCCGTCCACTGTAATGGATGCATACACACATGCACAAATTAGGCCACCGCTCCAGTGGACCACAGGGTGGTCCTGATTGACGAGCCCACGTTTCTTAATGCTCTCTCTCGTATGTGTAATAAATGAGGGGCTCTGTTACACAACAGCAGCTTAGTTTGCAATCCCCCCTCCCATCCCCTTTATGCCAGCACTGTTTGCTCAGGAGTTAATGTTATTAGTCAATGCCTCCTAGCAATTTAATCTGTGCATCTTTTAATGATGTATGTGATAAATTGAATAAATGTTCATAAAGAATGCCCTGTTATATATCTTTCCACAGCACTAGTGATTTTTTTTTTTCTTCTACCATTTGACTTAAGGCGTTCACTATGTTTGTGCCATTAAGACAAATTGAGGGGGAGAAGAGCAGTAAGAATGGGGGTGGGGTTGTGTTGTTATGTAAGATAGGATTAAGCTTTCTCAGAGTTAGTTGCACAGGAGAGGGCATGTCACGCTCAGAGTAATTGTTGCATGACATCTTGATGCTTTTTAGTGATAAACATTGCGTTGATATGACCTCACCTGACAAATACATTTGTAAAATCTATGCGATTGCGCAATAATTATGCATTTTCAAATGCTCACGTGGTAAAATGTCTGATTTTTTAAAAATATGCTTTAAAAAGAATATTGTCATCTAACTGAAATGGACATTGAAAGTTTCACACCCTCTCGTATTGCTGTGAAGTTGTATAAAAGTGTTTCCACATCAGAGTAAACATCATTCTGAAAGATGCCACAGTTGCCACATGCAGATCTACTCACAGCCACAAGAGGTCAAAATACTTTGAACATAAATGTTTTTTGCAAATTCTCACACTGTAAATGCTACATTCTTGGGTAGGAAGACTCCCCCTTTTTTTTTTTAACATGATTCCTTGATCTGATCACTGCCTTATTATGAGCAACAGCGTGATTATGTAACATCTGATTGTAATATCTCTAACAGGTTCATCAGATGCTGGTAGTGGGGATATTGGACTTTACATCACAGATTCCAGGACCAAAGATGAAGATGGCTTTGACATTGATGATTCAGATTATGACGTATTCATTGAAGAGGTGGGTTTAAAAGTTCAAACAAGCTTCGGACTGCACAGGAAACAATAAGCAAATCAAAAAGTAATCAAACTGCAAAGCGTGAAGGCTTTTAATCATTTTTTTGTTTTTTCTTCACCCTTCTGACTTTTAGTTGAAACCATTTCCTGGAATAAGTGAGGACAACAGGAAGTCCCAACTCCGTTCACGCTCCGGCCCTTCACCTGGTCGAAATGTGGTTTACCGTATGAACACCATGGCCCCTCCAAATATTACTGACCTACCAGTTTCCACAACCACTTCAGCCATCTTCCCAGACTTCTCAGATCTAGTTTTCTCAGAAAACTCAGAGCCCAGTATGTCCACTAATTTGGTAACTACTACCTCACCGAGCACCACCAGGTAAGCTGAATCCTAATTATTCACAGTTCTTCCTGTTTTAGATGATCTATTTCAGTATGATGGCATCTAAGTGCTCTTTATCAGTAACAGAAAGCTGTGATTGCCACTCATGTTTTTTGTCATCTTAGTCTTTGATTCTAAGCCGTCTGCATCTGAAACTTCTTTTTCATCCACATCCACTTATTCAATTGACAAACAGGGACTGAAGTCATGAAATGTCACATCAAATGAAGATGATAGTGTTGTTGTGAGATACAAGACGTCCTTATCTGAAACAAATAAAAAGGGCCTTCAGTGCTCTTGCATAATGTTGAAACATCTGCTTTTTGTTGTCAAAAATGAAGGCGGTCGATCATTTGAATGAAAGTTGGCAATTCGAGAAAAAATGCTCTTTCAAAACAAACCAGAGTTCAGAACCGAAAATGCCTGAAAAACTATGATTAGCTAAAACATTAGGTAAAGTTTAACCCATTAACATCCAGCTCAACCATCTGGTAAAGTGCATTTTTTACTGATAATCCATCATAGGATAAACGAGAGGAAGGGAAATATGAGAGGAACTGCACTTATCTTAACTAGCTCTAACATTAAGTGTAGCTATATGATGCCTAACTTAAGCATGAGTTAGGACATTTCTCTTTTGAAATTTCACATTTTTATCACAAAGTGTCAACCCAGGTATGTGTGATAAAAAAGCATTGATTCTGTTCTCCAAATAAATTAAAAAAATTCTGTGTGGGTGTTAAAAAAAAAGATTATTACGATATTATTATTGTTTTTTCTCAAAACAACATTCTGTTATTTTCTTCTTCTTGGATTTACCTCAGCACCACTACGACTGCACCAACCATGTCCCCCTGGCTCGGCGAGGTGCCTCGTGTGTATGACCTGACTTGTGAGGACACGGTTTGCCCGCCTGACAGCTTCTGTCTCAGTGATTATGACAGCGGGGGTTCTCGCTGCCATTGCAACCTTGGACGTCGAGGGGACACTTGCTCTGAGGGTGAGAAGCTGAATAGCTGAATATCTGTCTCACTTGATTCCGATATTTCCACACGAGTAAAGAGAAAACTAAATAAACTGTTTTAAAGTCAAACATTCAGGAGATTTGCATTCTGTTTCACTGTGCAGCTTTATATAGCTGTCATATTTTGTTCTTCTTCAGGGGTAACAGTAAACTTTCCCAAGTTCTACGGCTACTCTCACATGACCTTTGAACCGCTGAAAAACTCTTACCAGACATTTCAGATCACTTTGGAATTTAAGGTAAATCAGTCATTTCTCACCTTGTTTTTTCACTTTGTAAATGAGGACAACTTTTGAAAAAGTATTTTTCTGGTACAGTCAGACTCTGAGGATGGCTTGCTGCTGTACTGTGGAGAGAATGAGCATGGCCGTGGAGACTTCACCTCTTTGGCGTTGGTTCGAGGCAAACTTCACTACAGGTGATGCATGGAGCTACTTTTCACATTCACATTTGTAAAGAGATCTTTTTTTGTCACTGCCAGTAACAATTATTACATTTTGTTTTAACGTAAGATGTTTTTTGACATTTCATTTCAACCACTAGGGAACTTATTTACATATAAATTACAGTTTTAATCAATCAGCAACTTCCCATTACCACATTGTTTAACAATATCAGGTAGTGTTAGAAAATCATTCCATAAGCACATACAAAGACTTGAAGTAGACTCTTGTTGACCACCAGAATATAGAGAGAGAAAAATAAAAGAGGTACAGTATTTTCTTTACAGTGTTGTTTAAGGGCAGGATTTGTGACGGCCATATTTGTCTTTCAATGTCACCTGTCTCCCAGGTTTAACTGTGGCACTGGAGCAGCTCAGATAATCAGTGAGAGTCGTATTGTTTTGGGTCAGTGGCACATAGTTACTATTTTCAGAGATGGGATGAGTGGATGGCTCCGTATGGACAACGATACCCCCCTGTCTGGACGCTCACAGGTGAAGATAAAGCATTTTTTGGGATAAAGCTGATACATAGCACACGGATAAAGCGCGGTGTCCTGTCATGTGACAAAGATAAATGGGGCACAAGCTTTTGCTTGACATGTTCAGTCTCTGGGAATTAGAGTGGCTTGAAAATAAAAGCGTGTTTACTGTCGATGACTGCACTTTGCTCTCTTCGTGCTCTTTCAGGGTCAGTACACCAAAATTACTTTCCGCTCCCCGTTGTATGTGGGTGGATCTCCAAGTGTTTACTGGCTGGTTAGAGCAACAGGTACAAATCGTGGCTTCGTGGGCTGCATTCAGAGTCTTAACATCAACAACAAGGCCACAGACATCAGACCATGGCCTCTTGGTAAAGCAGTGAGTGGAGCTGACATAGGTGAGGCACGAAAGATGATTGACTTTTGCTACTTTAAAGGCCTTCTGTTTTTTTGTTTGCCTGTTTGTGGATGCCACCTATTTATTTGCTGGCAAGTTTTTTTCAGATGTAAAGACAGTTTACAGAAACAATAACATCTTGTGCATGCATATTTTCTGGGTAATCTGTAGAGATCAACTCTGAATCTGTTCTCATGTGGCAGGTGAGTGCAGCAAAAGCGTGTGTGACCAGGTCACCTGTGCCAACGGCGGAGCTTGCTTTGCAAACCGTGCCGACGGTTACATCTGCCTGTGCCCCCTTGGTTTCAGGGGAGCTATTTGTGAAGAGAGTGAGTAACCACAAAAAAACATGAATACATTGTAAAGAAAAAAATCCCACTCAGTCGAAAGTTATTTCTGCTGTGACAACATTTAAGGTGATTAATGTATTAATGAAGGGTAGAATGAGGAACACTAGTGTATATGGGAATAAATAGCTCTGGTATTGAGATCTGTTTATTTGCTTGTTCTAACACATTTACAAAGGAAATAGTATTCTCTCTTCTTCTTCTTCTTCTGCATCTTCATCATTATTAATTTTCTTTAGGTTTTAGAAACAAACATTTTCCTCATCCTCACTCTTAACTTTCATGATTCTTATGTCTCTTACTCTCTCTCTTCTCCTTTGCTCAGGTTTCTTGTTGACTTCTCCACTCTTCAATGAAACCGTGTTTTCGTACGCTGTCATTCCATGGCCTCAGTCCTCTCAGAGCTACCTGTCCTTTATGGAGTTTGAGGTGACGTTTTGGCCATCAATGCCTGATGGGGTGTTGCTGTACAGTGACGATGCAGGCAGTGGAGACTTCCTTTCCATTAATTTGGTGGACAGATATGTAGAGTTCAGATTTGACTGTGGTTCTGGAGGAGCTGTTATAAGGTACTGAAACAGTTCCAGACCTTTTTACCTATTACATTCTTATATGTTCTTGTGATTTCATGTTTTCGTCCCGAATACTTGAGTCTAAATGAATGGTATTCTGCCCTGTAGGAGTCAGGAGCAGATCAGTTTGAACTCATGGCATGAACTAAGAGTGTCTCGTACAGCAAAGAGTGGAATCCTGCAAGTGGACAACCAGAAGTCAATGGAGGGAATTGCTGAGGTAAATAATTTTGAAACTGTGCTAAATTTTCAAAGGAGATAATAACTTTCTCTTTAACGGTTTTTATGTGTTGGACTGAGATCACAGTAAACAAGTGACTAATATTTGCTGAAACATAATCAATGTCCCTCTGTTTCTTTTTACCTTTCAGGGAGCTTTCACTCAGATCAATTGCAGCTCACCTCTCTATGTTGGTGGAGTGCCAGAATATGATAAAACCAAGAAGACTGCAGGTGTGATAAGGGCCTTCACTGGAGTTATTCAGAAGGTGAATACATGTTCACAGTCACCAACTGTGGCTACAAAGTTGCATTGCGGGAAATAGTCAAATTCAATCAATTAAATACAGTTGACTTTGCTCACACAATGCAGATTAGGCCCATCTAATTTAGATAATTCTGTTTGTATTTCCCAGAATATCCGTGCCTTTAATCCAATTTTAGTGGAGATGCAATTAATTGTCACAGGTCTGGACATAAGAAGGGGATCTTACTGTAAAAATAATAAATAAAACAAACCCCAAATTGGTTATTGTTAAAAAAAAGGGCTTGAATGTTTACATTTTTCTTTATCCTCTCTTTCTTCTTCTGCTGTGTCTGTTATCTTCACATCCTCAGCTGATTCTCAATGACCGCACCGTCCCAATCACAGCTGGCTCTGCTGGTGGAGTTAATGTGGCAAACTCTGATCACCCATGTGTGGAAAGCCCCTGTGCCAACGGAGGAACCTGCAGGCCAAAGTGGGATAGCTATGAGTGTGACTGCCCTCTGGGGTATGATGGGAGGCACTGCCAGAAAGGTCAGTGGTACTTTCAAACTCTATATTTCACAAAGCAACTGACCTCTATTTTCTGCAGCTATGTTCCTCATTCGGTGAAACACAGTCACAGCTTATCTCCTTTAGTCAAAAATACCCCAAAACAGCTTACAGGTCAATTACATTATTTTCTGGTTGTGGTTTTCTGTTTTTTATGCTCGATGATGAAGTACCTAAGTCATTTGCTTTAGTGTGATATTCTGTCTTTTACTAAACCTTATTATTTCATTCACCCTGTTATTAAACGTGTTTTACTCTTACTATCTAACATTGTATAAAATCATAAACTAAGAACCCAATCCCTATCTTCCTTTTCTGTTTTTAATGCTTTCTTTAAACAGAATGTGGGAATTACTGTCTCAACAGTAAGTTTCTTTCTTTCCTCTAAATTCAAAAAGCAGATATTAGTCATTTTCATGTTAAATTGTACCCCCTCTCTCATTAATGTGTCCCCACATGGTCAAATCTAGTCTTGTAACTTTTCTGATAATGCTCAATATGTGCTGATGCTGCCATCTTGTGATGGGTTTACAACTATTTATTTTTCTCCTCTGAGCAGCTGTGACTGAAGCCATAGAGATTCCGCAGTTTATTGGAAGAAGTTACCTAACCTATGACAACAGAGATATCCTTAAAAGGTTGGCTGCAAAATGACTTAATGTTCCCTTTTTCACTTAGTTCAAGGACTTAATCTGTTTTCAAAATCTATATCCCTACCATTTTTAAATTCGGAAATAAAAAGCTAACTGACTGAAACCGACTGAATGTGAAAAAAAGATATGCACATAAACAATTGCATGAATATTACTAAAACTGAAAACAGAAAACATTGATATTTGACTCAGTCTTCTTGGCTAACTTGCTCAGTAAGGACGTTTTCCTTTTTTTCCTCCTACTTTCAGAGTGTCTGGGTCTAGAACTAACCTTTTCATGCATTTTAAGAGCACAGCCAGGGATGGCTTGCTGCTTTGGAGAGGAGACAGTCCAATGAGACCCAACAGTGACTTCCTTTCCATGGGGCTGCAGGATGGGGCGCTTATCTTCAGGTATTTGTTGTAGACAAAACATGATGGACAGTCGTGAAACAAGAACAAATCATTTCTGTTAATTTTTGGCTATAAGAAAGCTTGTCACAAGGTTTGATTTGAGAGCCAAGAAGAACAATGAAGAGCTGCCCAAAAGGGAATGTTTAGTGCAAAAGGGGACTAAGCTGAAGCGGAATAAATTCTAAGACATGACTGTGACATCTGACAATAGTTGTGAGGAATATACCAAACATATTTGAATCTGTTGCAACTAAATTCCTTGTATGAATTTCTGTTGCAGTTATAACTTAGGCAGTGGAGTAGCTAACATTATCGTCAACGGCACCTTCAACGATGGAAAGTGGCACAGAGTCAAGGCTGTTAGGTAAAATACAAATAATCCTCTTATAAAAGGATCCTGCAATATCTTGTTCGTGTTGTAAGAGAATGAACCAAAAAGCTAAACAATGGGCATTAAACTGTTAAAGTGCTATGTACAGCGTGCACTTTGAAGAAGGATTGGCTTTGTGTCCTTCTAATCTACTGAAAGGAATTTATCAACTTCACTTATCATTTCAGGGATGGCCAGTCAGGAAAGCTGACTGTCGATGATTATGGAGCTAAGACAGGCCGGTCACCAGGCATGATGAGACAACTCAACATCAACGGACCCCTATATGTTGGTGGGTGGGACTCCTGAGCTGTCTGAAGTGTTCATCAAGACATGATTATTACTCGTAAAACTTCTCACTTTATTATTAACTTTATTATGCTGTTTCTGTTCTGTTTGTCACCTGAAGGTGGCATGAAGGAGATTGCTCTTCACACAAACAGACAGTACATTGGAGGCTTGGTGGGCTGTGTGTCCCATTTCACCCTCTCCACTGACTACCATTTGGCTTTGGTGGAGGATGCAGCTGACGGCAAGAACATCAACACCTGCACTAACTAGAGAATTTTTGCCGGAGAAGACGGTCCATTTTCAGCACTGTTTCCAACTGGATATTAACCTTGCCAGCACAAATGAAGTAAAAACAAAAGAATGTATTTCTTTAAGTATTCTAACCAAGACCTGTTTTGGTTTAAACTCAAACCAAATATAAGAATAGTTTTGCCAGTTTAAGCAGAGGGAGTGAATCTATCTTTTCTTGCGTGCAGCTTTGATCTGCCTAGCTGTAAAGTTTATTTCAATGGAAAATATCCAAGGCTACAGCAAAAGTGACCTCAAAATATTTGATGTTTCAAAAAAATGGATTTTTCTGTAAAAAAAAAAGAGAGCAAAAGCTTTGTTTTGGGGTAAAGAGGGCTTTTGTGAAAAGCCTTTTGAAAGACTTTTTTTCATGGGATGATTCTGCTTTCATCTACATTTTTTTCTACTGCAAATATTTCTCTGGTTGCTGAAAGAGCCAAGTGATCCAAGAGATCAAAATCAACCACGAACCTGACCTAGAGCAGCTAACAAGGGTCAACTTTTTTTTTTTTAGAGAATTGTTGTTTTCACCTTAGAGGATTTTTGTTTAAGTTGTTGTGATATTTGTACTCTTGCTTGTGAAATTTTTAGAGAGATGTTTTTCTCAGTCTCAGTCTCAGTTTTTTTCCCCGGGGTTTATAGTTTTGCAGGATATATTTGTCAGTGTTACAGAATTTTTTTTTTTACCTTCTGCTCTTTTCTTGCTTCTTTATCTGGATCTCTGAGAGGTTGGTCACATGAGCATCTGATGTTGGGCATCTCAAATCTTTAAATCTATGCATGACCATTTTCTGTCATCTGATACAAACCCGTTTTTACTCGCTTTAGTGCAAATACATACAAATGCACACTTTCTTTTATGGCCAAGTTTCACCCCTTAAATGGAGAATATTGCAAAATTTGAACTTAAATCTTATGAAGTATTCAATATCTTAATGTTCTGGCATGTAATATTTTGGGCAATAGATTAAGAGATATGTATAGAAAAACCAAATGGCAACACTGTATTTTTAGGTGGAGATTGGAACGGAAATGTGTGTTTTCGCTGTCTTTGACTTCTTTTCTCAGAGTCTGCATTGACAGAAAAGACTCAAACACTGATTCCTACCAGAGACTTTTTCGTTCTTCACTGCAGCTCTGTAGAGGATAAGGAGAGCGTTCATTATGTCACTGGAAAGGACTTCACCCTAAAAAATGAGCTACTACAGTGTTTATCGTTTTCCTATAGGTCGGAAAAGCATTTCAAAAGAGGTCCATCTGATGAAATATGCCATTCGACTGTCAAACGTGAATGTATTAGGATGATTACAGGGGTTACTGTTCTCTTTGTTTAAAATCATTCTTGTCAGAGTTTGAAGTGTAATAATAAATTACCACTGACTGTAGGACAATCCTGATGTTTATGTAGTATGATTAGTTATTTTAAGATGTGTTTACAGCATTAGCTATATGATTGTGCTTAAGAACCTTTAAAGTGTGATGTTTCAACTTTTTGTTTCAACCAACTGCATTTCTGTAACTGGAATAGACAACAGAAATTGTCCCCCCCTGACAAAGTATATTATGTGTCAAGCCTTAATGTTCCCCTTAAGTAACCGTTGCTTTTACATTTTTGGAGGAACTCTGTCAAGATTATTTAATTTGCTCCATTATTTTAAAGATAGATAGCTGTTATTTCAGAAAGTATATTTTTCCAGAACTGCAATCATTTCCCTTTCCAAATCATTAAAACACATAGATTTAGCAGAATAATGTTAAATGGGTTTTGTGAAAAACAAAAAACAAAAACAAAAAAAATTCTAGTTGATACTTGTAAATGGTGACAAACTCATTTGAAAAACTTGACTGTACATAATGCTTACATTAAAGTCTGCTGACTTTAAAACCTGTCCAATATTGCTATGGTTTGTCATGGATTCTGCAGTAATGCTCTTAACTTTTATTTAAGGAACAGACATCCTTTTAGTTTATACAAGGTTAAATGACTTTTTTCAGTTATTGAGATGGATTTTTCTTATTATTTTTAGTTACATAATTGTATTTTTACATAATAATAACAAAGTGTTTTTGTAATTACACTGTTACTTGAAGGCTTAAAAAATGGGAGCTTCTCTAGTAAGCTTCAGTGACTAAAAGCAAAACCACTTGCCGGGGTTTTTTACCTTCCAGATCTGCTATTCAAACGGTATGTAGTTTCATGCACACACCTGTGGCTTACAAGTCCTATCTGATGTATCACAATTGATAAGCAAAAATAACTTGAATTTCAAGGAAGAGCTTAATACATCTATTTCCATGCTCATTCAGTTCTCTTTGGAGTACGTAAAAACATTGACAGTGGAGAAATTGCCATCAAACGTAATAAAGTGAGTTATGCTGGCAAAATACTCTCACCACCAACCTGCACTTTGAGTGTTGATGCTTGTGTAATCTTGGGAAACACTCGGCAAATAACTGTAAATTAGCAGATTCTGGCTCTGGCCATATTGTGAAGCAACTTTTTAAATTACAGCCATCAAGGCTTATTTTGCTTTCAAGCTGTGTCATTCCTCACCTCTCTTTGTGAGTTCTGATATTACATATTTGAACAGCGCAATCTTGTATTGACATGCCTGTGGCTTAAAATTGGTCTGTTGTGGTTTGAAAATAGGACAGTTATATATATATATATATATATATATATATCATCAAAGGTAGACAAACAAAGCCTAAAATGTACAATTGTTTTGCTGATGTCAGTCAAGCACAAACCTGGACTACCAGTCCTGATGGCTCTGGAGGGACATTTGTGAGTTTAAATTGGGTGCTTCTACTATATTTCTTACTATGATTCTCATCAGACTCAGTATGCACATACATCCCCCCTTAAATGTATTTAATGAGTCGTTCATTTTTAATCAGCAGTTATCCCATTTAACTTTTGGTTTGCCAAATGTCTTCAGGAACATCTCAAGAAATTCCATGAAGGGCGTCCGTAGTAATGTGCACTACAAAAAAAGTGGATGGCCAACTCCTGACTTCACTGGTGATATGAATACCTTTACAGGCCCAGTTAGGGCAGCACAGACCCATCCTTTGTTAGACTTTTGCTGGTGTGATTTATTCAGTTCGAACATTTCAGAAAAGGCGGAACTTCAATCAATTCAGATTTTTTTGTTGTCAGGCTTTTCAGGAGTAGCCTAAGGCATTTCGCTTTGAAGGAAAAGCAGCCAGACAAAGATATCAGATCCACTGATCTGAGGAAATCATCTACGCATGTGTGGTTTTCGTTCTTTTCCCCAAAACTCACAAGAGTACAGAAAATGCATTCATGGCCATGTGATGTGACAGTCAGAAAAAATTACGTTTTGGCTGCGTGACACAGCAAAAATAGTTGTTAAATAGTTCATCTCATGGATCCCGTGTGTTATACTTTCCTTTCAGCAGGATGGAGATGCTGCCTGGTTTATTTATCCTACAAGTGCTCTGTTTGGTTAACGCTTATCCAAATGGAGCCCCCACTGGCGCCTGTGAAGATATGCTGCCTCGCCACATGGGAATATTGCCTCAGTCTTCACCAGCTCCCTATACTCTTCTATCCAACATGAGGACATATAGGCCAGGCACGCCCATCACAGGTGAGAGACCTATGCCTGCTGCTCGAGATGTAGATCTGTTGAGATGTTTGACCAACATTGAGGACTAAACTCATTAAAGAATCGGGTTTCCAAACTACATAAACAGATCCATGTCTTTATTTGACTGTTATACTGATGTTGTAATGAGTGTAAGCAAAATGATCATTTAATTGATAATTGGTAGCATAATCAGATATAGAGTACTTCATTTACATTTTGACCACTAATGTCTGCTATAAGCTAGGTTTGAATGTAAAAGAATATATTTGAGAAATTGTGACTATCCAAGATAACTGTGTTTTCGTGCAGTGACCATTATGGGACCTGCCTACAGAGGGGTGCTACTTGAAGCTCGAACATTGGGCGGCCTCTATGCTCTGGGTTGCTGGATGTTCCCTCCTCCTGACACAAAATTACTTCAGGTGCTATTCCCACTTTGCCTCCGTTGAAAAGGGTTGAATATTTTTTTCATGCTGATTATCTAAGCTCTCAAAATGCTTTAAAAGTTATTCCTATGTTTTATCTAGTGCCTGAAATGTTTAAAGATTATAAAAAGATTGAAGTGCTGTTTTCTTGAATATCTTTGTGGATCTAATGTTCACAGTGCGCAGGACATCCAAACAGAGCTGTGACTCATGCCAACACCAACCTGAAGGGGAACTCCACTGCGTACCTATGGATGCCACCCGATATTACAAGCCCTGTTTATTTCATGTAAATATGTCATTTGTTTTTAGTTTTTCAGATCTTAGTTAGGACTTACATTGATAAATAAACACAGCAACTATGAATGTTGAAATACATACTTTCCTCCTTTTTTTTAGTGCAACTGTTGCTCAGCAGCGCACAGTCTTCTGGGTTGATGTGCGGTCAACCATTCTGACCAGAGGTAGGTACAGCGCAGAAAAGTGATTAAAACACATGACTGTTATTGATTATGACAACTTGTTATCTACCTTTCAGGGTAGCTGGATGGTGTCAACCTTGCAACTGATGCAAATGAAGGAATGGCTGAAAGAAAACCTCTTCTTCTCCTTCTGATATGTGCACTTGTGTTCTTGGATATGTAGAAATTGTTTATGTATTGAAAACATATTATCATATAAGATTAACACAGTGTATATTTTTCAAGTTTGATCTCTGAATGAAGAAAATAACAACTTTGTAAAAGATATTAACAAAGCCTTTGTTTGTCTATATTTACCTACTATAAACATACAATGATCGATGCATGTGAATCTTAAATGCATCATCTGGTCATGTCCACAGTGGGACCAATAAAATTAGAAGTATAAATTAAAAAAAAAAAAGAATATTCCAATGAAACACATCTTCCTATATGATATTAAAATTATATGACTACAATATTATACACACACGTTTCCAACATAGAATTTTTATTTGAATGATAAAACTTTGCTGTAATTTGTGACCACATGCAGATCAGATGGTCTGGTTATAATATTATTCTGTACAATGAAGAAAAACATTGAATTGCCTTATATTTCAAGTAAGAAAAGTAGAGACAGTGAAGGGAAAAAAGGATAAAAAGATGGACTGATGGAGATGTGATGGCAGTGTTTGAGATGCAGCTTTCCACGTCAGTGTGTTATTGACTGAATTTCATTCCTCTAATTGAAAAGCATGTTATGACCTGTTTTTTTCCACATGGTTTGATCTCTAACCTAGATTCCTAATGTGATGATGTACAGAAACACCAAAGAGGCTTAAGACATGCAACACATGATGTGCAAAGCTCAACGGAACATACATCCTGTCCTGCATTTCTGCTCTGATTTCAGTTCTACCTCACACATAAAACCCAAGCAGTGGGTGCAAAGATGTGCGCCCCTCTTTTCATGATAAATGTGTGTTTGTTTTCCAAAATCTAAAACCTCTAAATCTATTCTAAAGCCCCACCAGGGTAACAAACTTCTTTACTTGGTTGAACATGATATGAGAACAACACAAACATCTCTTAAGAGTGCAGACAATTTAATTGATAATGTATCACATTTTGTCATTTTGTCATGAGCTTAGCAACAGTACAAACTGTCAAAGTAAGGAAATCATAGCCATGACCACAAAGGTCATTTTTCTTTAAAGATGTTAATCATGTTCAACCCCTTGTATCCTATAACTCTCAGATGTTCATGGTCATATGAGCCCTGAATTTAAAAGGAGAAGATATAAGGTAACCTGACTCTTTGTGATGATCTGATGCTGCTCTGCCACAGATGGGAGAATTATTTGCCCCTCTCTGGTGAAGTATTGATCTTAGCTGATTCATGAGCCTGAGGTTCAACCTCGTAACAGAGAGCACGCACCACTCAATTATAATTAGTCCCTCTCCACTGCATGCTGAAAGCTAGCTGTATACTGCATGGGGATTTAAAGCTAGGCACCAGTGGTACCAGCTAGTTCAATAGGAAATGACACATTGACATGTGGAAAAGTGAACCCCTCAGTCAAGGTCAGGCTCAGTTTGTGCCTCACAGTGGCTGCTCTTGTTTCCATCCAGACAAGGTCAATTAGAAAAAAGAGAATAATGGAAATTCTTCAGTTTTCACCTGCTTTTTGAGAATAAAAATAATAGCTTTGAGAAATATTCTTGTCTCGTGAGTTTTTCTTTCTTGTTGCATCTGAGTAGCTCTTACCTAAAAATAAAATAAAATAAAATAGTGAAGTCAATGCATTTTTCCCCCCATGATCTTTTGGCTCTTAGGAAGCTTAGTTTTTTCTTGCTTTCTGGAAGAAAAAATAATATTTTTTGGATTGTGGTGGCATGGTAGGGTGGTGGTTTCCACTATTGCCTTGCAGCAAAAGGCTTCCTGGTTTATATAGGACCTTTCTGTGTAGGGTTTGCATGTTCTCGCTGTGTCTGAATGGGTTCTCTCGGCGTACTCAGGCTTCTTCCCAACCTCCAAAAACATACATCTTAGATTAATTGCACACTTTGAATTGCCCCTAGATGTGAGTGTGGTTGTTTGTCTCTGTGCGGGCCTGTGATGGTCTGGTGACCTGCCCAAGGTGTACCCTGCCTCTTGCCCATTGTCAGCTGGGATAGGCTCCAGCGATCCTAGTGGGACTCAGTGGTAAATATAATGGATGGATGGATCTTCTTATGATTGTACGCACAGCAAGAGATTTTCAGCTTTGGAAGATCAAGGTATTTGGTCTCTTTATAGAACTTAATATTTTCAGATTATTGTGATCAGAAAGGGGAATTATGTATAGAGTTTCAACATAATCCACGTAAATCTTACTGTCTGCACAGTGGCAGCAGCAGATGTTTTCATGTGTATTTCCCAGCTGTGCCGGCATTTATTAGAAACACCATACTTAAGGTAGGTCAACATGATCTACAACAAAAAAAATCCTTTGAAACATCTGTCTGTCTATTATCTGTGACAATAAAGTACAAATCAGTTAACAAACATGTGCAAATGGATGAGCGTACATGGAGGCAAAGGAACACGCATGACACATGGTCAAGTTTACAGAGTATCATGGACGTTCTTATTCAGCGCAGATCAAACACTCGTCCACATGCATGCACAGAGTCAGGATTAAGGCTATCGCTTGCTGCCGGGGCTTAGTTGACATCTCTGTCTAAGCTCTGCATTCTTGGCTTTCTACTATCCCCTTCATCTTCTTTTATCAGCATGTGCAGCACCATAAAAAGCAATGACCAGCCAATGGGCTCTTCTGACCCTTGTCCTGATGAAAATCGTAAGTAACAATAATTAAGAACAACTTTTTCTGCACAGAATGTAATGTTTTCTTCTGTCTTTAAATATCCTCACGTGGTTATTCTATATTGTAGGAGAATCTAGAAAATATAGAGCATGCAAATGTCTTTGTATCATGACCAATGCTTGAAGAATCAGGGCTGTGGTGTAAAAAAACAAAGAGGGTAGTTTTATAGGTAAACTTGAGCACTTCGATATGTTGCAGCAGCTCTTGCACCATTGCCAAAATATTGTTTTTGGAAGAATACATTGAAAAGGTTTTTGCCAGTAGTGATTTGCTAAGTAGCAGAGTGACTTTATATTTTTCAGTGTATGCATGTGTGATTTGCAATGCCTGATGGACTTTTGAGCTAAAGTGGCTCTTGTTACTTATAGTGCACAGCATGTCTGTTATGTAAGAATGTGGTGGTTAAAGGGTGGGAGCTTAGGGCCAGGCCATTTTACATGTAGGGCTGGTAGAGGGTGGGAGATAGGGAGATGCCACAGATGCTGTTCATGTGTGGGACAGGGAGAGAGAGGCAAACACAGGGAGGGATGAGACATTAGGAGTCGCTGGTTCACAAGATTACCAGAGACAAGCCACTGTTTCAGAGCTGGAAGCACAGCTGGTATGATGGGTGAAGAGGCTGCAGGCACTGAGCGAAACAGCAGTGGCGGTACACAATAAGGAGCAGGATTTGATACACTGAAGGATGAAATCATTTAAATTCAACAAGAAAAGACAGGGAAATTTTGAGGACTACAAGTGGAAGGCTGTTTTTTGAATTGCAGAGAGGAATGCCAGAGCTGCTGTTGCGCATATGAAAACGAAGAGCATGTCATCTTATAACACTGGACACTGAGGGGAAAGTGGAGCTGTCCTGTTTATTTTGCATTAACAACTTGGTTGCCAAGCTACATTATTGTCCACGCTTAATTTCTTTCCAGTTCATTTTCCACAGACAAACATACAGACTTGGAATCGATTTATCACATTTTCTGAAGTACGTCTTTCCACATTTTTAGTGTGGAGTTCTGCAGGGATGGAGTTGCTTGGACACGATCCATAGAGTGAAAATTCAAACAAGATGTGGACCTTCTGAGATTTTATATCTCCATTGTGTCTTTTTTATTTGAATACTGCATCAATGGAGGCTGGACACTGGCATAAAGAGGTGGATTGCAGAGTGGTAGACCTATTACAACCTGCCAGGTTGGAAGTCTTGCCGAGGTGTTTGAATCATGTGGTCCACTGAGAGCATGGAGCCAGAGAAAGCACACACCCAGAACAGCTTGTTCAGCACGGTGGATGTACCAGACCATGTTCACTACATTGTTGCTTTTTTTGTCTTTATAATTGGGGCACTCGGAATTACCGGCAATGCCCTGGTTATGTTCGCCTTCTACAGGTGAGTCACCCCGACTGACTTTTAAAAAAAAAAATGTTTCATTTCAAAGTAATTCATGTGCTTGTGTTTTCCATTGTGACATTTACAATTTTTCTGTAAGGTCACTCTTGAATTAGTCCTTGTTGAGATATTATAATCGGCCAAATGCCATTATGCACATCTGGATGCTGAACATACATGTGCCAATAAATGGAGTGGAAATGTTCTTTTAATGGGTCTTCACTTGAATAATTTGTATACAATTTACTGAAAGAATTATTCAGTTTTTTTTTACTTTCTGGAGTACAGAAAGCTGTTATCTGTTAGTTAAAAACCAATATTCTGCTGCAACATCTCTGACTATTTGAACTATTCAATAAAAAAATTGAGTTTTTATAAAAAGTCTGTTTAATAATAATAAACCCTGCCTGCCTATTAAGAAACAGTACATTAGTGTATAGTATTATAAAAATGATTTACATTAATAACGATGATACATTAACAAAACTGTAATAAATATAATACGTCATATCACACTGTAACGTATTATTCTTGGCTACTCAACGAAATTCAGATCATTCATTTCCCAATATATCATTTAAAGAAAATACTGTGTTAAGTGTAATACTTTTTCTGCAAAGTGAGCCTTTCCTAAAATATAGATCATGTTTTGGAAACTCTGGAGGGAGTTAATGTGCTGTGTGTCATGTGACAGGCCGAAACTGCGACCTCATATCTCTCTACTGACATTAAATGTTCCTCAGAAACTGGGTCAGTGTATGTGTGAATCTGTGTTTGGTGTGTGTGTTCTGGGGATTGTCAGGAGCTCTTATACTCCATCTGTCCATCACTATAGAGGGATTTGATGAAGTCCTCATAATGTCATGGGTTCCAAGAAATTCCATTTTATATATAAGCAGACACGCACAAGTGGCAGGAAAGAGATGAACATAACTGTTTGGTATAATGTCAGTGGATACATATCATTTTTGGTGAAAAGTCAGAATTCTGTAGTTTTGTGCAGGAGTCATGAGTTATGAGATATTTAAAAATGTCCAAAAGTAGATACATAGGTACTCAGGTAGAAAACCTGATTGTTTTGTGCATTATCTGACTGAGGGAGCAGCCAGCTTTAATTCTGGCTTCACGAAAACTGTTTAATCAGTAAATAGCTGTAGAGGCAAAAGGCAGTATGTTGCCCAGTCACAATTAATCCTAAAAATAAACAGCCCTCTGTTTATAAGTTATGAAATTCAAACAAATCAACCTGGTCTTCCAGGAATATCTAAAATGAGCAGCAAATAAGACTTCATTATAAAGAGCTCCCTTTAAAATCAGACTGCTATAGACTGCTTAATGACTGCCATTTAAAAAAGAAAAGTGCAGAATATGTGCAGTGGTGTGGTAGTCAGCAACTTCAAGTGGGTTCTTGGTTCAAATCCCAGCTGGGGCCCGTTCTGTGTGGAGTTTGCAAGTCCTCCCCATGTTTGTGTGGGTTCTCTCCAGGTACTCCAGCTTCATCACACTCTCCAAAACCATGCATGTCCGGTTGAATGTTCGCTCTAAATTGGCCATAGGACTGAATGTGAGTTGTGAGGTTGTTTGTCTCTGTGTGACCCTGGGATGAACAGGTAAACTGTCCAAGGTGTAACCCCCACCCCATCTGTGAAAACATTTAATAATAATTCAGTGATCCAACACATGAGGGTGAGTATTCATAGACACTCACTACTATAACCCATCACGGCAACTGCACAGTATGCATTCACAGTGATGCGTGTGTCTGACCTTCAACTCTTTTTTTTGTTTGTTTCTATAGCAACAAGAAGCTACGTAACCTAGCCAACTATTTCATTGTGAATTTGGCAGTTAGTGACTTCCTCATGGCTTTTACACAGTCTCCAATATTCTTCATCAATAGCCTCTACAAGGAATGGGTGTTTGGAGATATAGGTAATTATCCTTCTTATTTTCAGTTCACTTTTGGACTATAACATTTGGCATACAACTTCTTTCTGTTGCTGAACAGGTTTTATGTTTGTGTGTGCCTGTCCCGCAGGTTGTAAGATGTATGCATTCTGCGGTGCCCTGTTTGGCATTTCCTCCATGATAAACCTTCTGGCCATCTCAATTGAACGCTATCTGGTCATCACCAAGCCCCTGCAAACCATACACTGGAGCTCCAAACGAAGAACCACCATCGCCATCCTTCTGGTCTGGCTTTATTCTTTTGCTTGGAGTCTGGCACCTCTGGTTGGCTGGAGTGAGTCTCCCCAAGCTGGGGGTCTTTTCTCAACCATTCTTCATCATAAGACAAAAGTAAAAGATAATATCTTGTAATATGTATATGATGTGAGAGTTTTAAAGTAATCTTTTTGGCTTGAAACTATACGAAACCTGCCAAGGGGCAATTATTCATTATTCATTAATCCATCTGCATCAAGAATTTCATCCTCTTTGTAACAGCATTTAAACACATTGATGTTTTTCTGAAATGTTGCCACGTGTGACTTAAAACTTCATTTATTCTGTGTTCTTTTACCTTATAGGCTCCTATATCCCAGAAGGCCTGATGACATCTTGTACATGGGATTATGTTACATACACAGCAGCCAATAGGAGCTACACAATGATGCTGTGTTGTTTTGTATTCTTTATTCCACTGGGGATTATTTTTTACTGCTATCTTCGGATGTTCGTTTCTATAAGGAAGACTAGCAGGTAATAGAAGTCTTGATTCATCTAATATATGAGTTGGTGTTGAAAAATGTCATCTCAATTTTTATCAATAATATCTGTTTGATTGTTTCCTCTACCTTACTTCAACTTCAGGGAAGTAGAACGTCTGGGCACCCAGGTGCGAAAATCCACTCTTATCCAGCAGAAGTCCATCAGGAATGAGTGGAAATTGGCAAAAATTGCCTTTGTTGTTATTGTAGTCTTCGTCCTGTCGTGGTCACCATATGCCTGTGTCACACTGGTTTCCTGGGCTGGGTGAGAACTTTTTATGTTTTTTTATGCATAGTTTGTTGTTCACTATATTTTTATTTAGTAATATTTTAGAAACTGGTTGAGCATGAATTACATGACCGTGTTGATACATTTGATCAAGAGAAATTTAATCTGCTCTCATTATTGGGAAATTAATCACAAGGGCTTTAGACACGCCACTCTACTGGATGGTGGATCAGTGGAAATATCGAACAAAGGAAAATTGGATTTGGCATCGTTGGTTCAAACTGTATTCTTTCGATAAACATCCTGCTGGTTGTGTAAAAGGAAAAAGAGAAACTTCTCAGGTGGCTAGGTTATTCCACTTTGTGTTCAGACAACTTTGAGAGAATTATTAATGTAAGGCCCTTCACTTTACTTCTCTGTGTTCACAGCAAGTGTTTTTCCAAAAAAATACAGCTCCGACTCATGTAAAATGATTGAATCTGGTCATTGAATCTGTTGTTTACAACAACCGTTTCTGTTCTTTTTACCCTTCAATTTGTGTAAATTTTTAGCACATCAGAAGAACATATATTTTTATAACAATATTACTACTCAAGATTATTAATTACTCATAAGGCTTGGAAAAACCAGGTCTCATTCCAAAAAGATAATAAGAATAAATGAAAATCAACTTGACCTCCCAGTTACTTAACGAGAGTGTGAAAGCATGTTAAATTTGCTATGCAACTTATTTGGAACATTTTGAAAATTACAAGAAGCATTTTCAGATTTTTCAAAAGTCATTTCAAGTTTCACAGAGGGATCATGATGCTGTCCTTGTCTCTGCAAGCCCCCAACAATTCCACAAACCAGTGTCCTGAAGAAGAACCATTTACTATTGAAAATGCCTTCAGATATTGGCGTCATTGTTCTGCATTATAGTATATTCAGATAAAAATCTTAACAGGGTGTCAAAAGGGTTGTTATTTAACAATATACTGGCAAGAGGCCTATGGATCAGAGACAAATAATAGAGGGTTAAGTTGTTCATTTGTCTTAAACTTATCTATCTTATCACAGCATTTAAACTACATGCCTCTCCTGGGCAAACTGTAGGTTAGTAAGTATTTATGTAAAATTGAAATGACATCTCTCCTCTGCTCATTGTCAGGAGAAAGTAATATTACATGAGCAAACATATTCAGATGGACTTAACCAACGCTCTCCAGCAGCTGGCCCATGCTAATCCCTGACCGAATATGCCCTTTCATTATGTTACAAAGCGCACACAAAGTCGAAAGAGAGAAAAATGTACTTGTGCTGTTGTGGGTATGTCGTGCATGTTTCTTGCGACACGGAGGCAAAGCACAGAAGGCCATATAAATAAAACTCCTGGACTATGAGGAAGAATTATTATATGACTTCTTTTTTTCCCACTCAGTTATGCCAACATCTTGTCACCAATCTCCAAAGCTGTCCCTGCAGTCATAGCAAAGGCTTCTACTATCTACAATCCTATCATCTACGCTATCATTCATAACAAATACAGGTAACCGACTAACATTTTGATTTCACATTTTTGAGCAAAAAACGTTCTAAAGATATTGTTCAGAAAAGTTTAAGTAAATTGAACAAATGAATAGATCACAGTCACGTCACTGTATCGTTCTGTACTCAACAGGATGACCTTAGCAGAGAAGTTCCGCTGCCTTCGCTTTCTGTCTCCCACCGCTCGAAAGGAGTGCTTCTCCTACTCCATCAGTGAGTCCTCTTTCAGAGACTCAATTGTCAGTAGACAGTCAGTAGCTTCAAGGACTCATTTTATCAATGCTTCCCCCAACCACAGAAATATGGTAAGAGTTACAACAGCACAAGCTTTCTCTATACACGGTGTCTTTTTCATTCTGAATGTGCTATGAGCTGCATCGTGATATATCTAATATAATTTGAATGCAATGAAATACATTAAAACATTAAACATCAACTGTTAAAAGGGAAGACTTCATTATTACAAAAAAATATTGAATACTTGAATTTGTCAGTAGCAGTTGACCACTGTACAGCACCCTCTTCTTTAACAGCAGTCCAGAAACCAGTACTGAAGAAATCCAGCACTGGGCCTCAGGGAGGGGAATTTTGTCCCATTATTGCCTGCCTAAGGATAATAGTTTTATTAGGGGTCTTCTTTGTCATATTCTGCCTTTTATTATGAACCAAAGGTTTTCAGTGAACACTTTAACATTTGCTTGTCAAACTTCGAAAGGCTTTGCCTATTATTATTTCAAATTATTTATTTATTATTTATTATTTCAAAATTTGATCTTTTTGAGCACAAAGTAGGTTTACGCTTTTTCTTAGTTTATTTCACATGAGCTCTGGCACAGGGATTATAGTAGAGTTTCTTGATTACTTGCACATATGGCTTCTTCTTTGCATGACAAAGCTTTAACCAGCATTCACGGATGCTACTGTGAATTATGCTCCTTCACATTTTACACAGTACCCCTACTTTTTCGGATTAGGTTGTATTTCCATTTGACTTTTTATCTTTATTTTTACATTTTTTATACATTGTTCACATAATGAATGCTTTTAAATTGTGTTTGCTTATTTCAGGCATGAACTCTGAATTTAAGGTATCTGTCTCTCTCTTGCAGATATTTAAAGATGTGGAAATGGAAATCCTGGGTGGAAAATCTGGTGATCCCATCAGACGTATGTCATCCTATAGTCAGTCCAGCAGATACAGGTCCTATAAGAAACAATTTGAGGAGAGGTCACTCAAGATCCATACACCAGACAAAGTGAGAAATGTGATCATTTTCTCATCTCGGATCAGTCTTCATGCATTGTTTTCATTTTTTTGTATACCCTAAATGTTTGTGTGTCTCTGTTAATATTACCAGCTACCGTCCATCATGACTGATCCAGTGACCTCACGTGATCACAGTTTGATGTCCAGCTCTTTAACCATCGCCACTGTCCCTCTGTTGGTGCTCACCAGGAGGCGCAGTGAGAGCCTGACCAATGACATTTCAGATGTTCCTGATGAGAAGAGCAGTTTCAGGGAAAGGCACAGTAGCCACAAGAGCAACTCTTTTGATTCCCTGAATTTTGGCAAAATGCAGCCGACTAATTCCCGGTCACCTCAGAGTATTCCGCGCATAATTGTCATCAGCCCCACCTCTGAAAGTAGCCTCATCCATCATGACAGTCCCTGCTTGGAGGACAGCATTGAGGCAATGGAAAACAGTGTTTTTGTTAGTTTAAACTTTTCATCAGAAGTCTTTGAGGCTGTCAAACTACTCTCTTGACAAACTGGAAATAAAATTGTATAGAATTTTGTCCTCTTTCTCTGTTTTGGAAGCAAAACAGAGAAAGAGGACAATTGCTTGTCTTTTTTTTATCTTGTGGACTGAAAAATCAAAGTTATGTATTTTATTTTTGAAACTGAAGTGCAGTACAAATGCTGCAATGGCCACAAATGAACAATAGAAGTAGAGAATGCAGTTTTTGCCGGCTCAGGAGAAGAAGAAACCCAAAGGGAAATGACCGTTGCAACACATGCTGCTACAATGCAATTTCATAAGCTTGGGGCAAAAGTTTGACAGTTTTTTGCCATGATGAAAGTAATCTAAAATTTCTGTGAGCTTGGAAATTTGTATTCCATGTACATTCAAAAGGTAATGTGTACTTTTCTGCCAGGAAAGGGCATTTGAAAATTTGCAATTGGACCACAGTGTTTCTTATTAATCCATCTCTGCTTTTTTTCTTAAAACTGGAAAATGCAAACAAGAATTTGATACAATGGACAAAATATAAGCATAAGAAGAAAAGGAGGACAAATCACCCTACAACCAAGAATTTTGTCCATCTTGAGCCATTTGAATCAGAAAGAAATTGAAGGGCAGCAAAGCAATAATATTAGGATGTGAGGTTGTGCTTTAAGTGCATATGCTCATTTCTTTTTGTCATGCTTGTTCCTTTGGGCTATACGGTCCTCTCCAACTTTTCATTGGCAGTAAGGCAGCAGTGTAATGAAAAAGTGAGGCTTTTCCTTCTGGTTAAAGACAGATGTGAAGTTGTGCGGGTCTTGAAAACAATGACATTTTGTCTTTGGTGTCTTGTATTGTTCATTGTTCAGCTCTTTTTGGTCCTGGAGAGTTTAGACTAACAGCAATGTGATGTGAATTGCAATGAGCAACATGGTTTGATAATGTTATCTGGGTTTTTGCAATGTGTAGCTTGAGCATATATTAATTGAAAACTACAAATACAATAAAGAAGCACACCAGGGTTCATGCTGATGAAGAAATTAGAATGTACCATTATTTAACCCTGGATAACAAGGTAATAAGACAGTAAAACTGAGGAATTACACAAAGAAAATTAACAACAATCTCAATGCCAATTCTAAGCATCTTCTTTTTTTGATAGTTACAGTAGTTACAACTATATGAGATGCCCCACATTCAAGGTAAATTTGTATGGTACCCAAGTTAAGTGTGGTATTGAACTTTTGTTTCATTGCTTATATAGAATAATTGTGCAAAATAAAAATGATTGGAAAAGTCATATCAAAATCAAGTTGAATTAAGCCGTTTAAGTGGAAAAAACCCATGTTGTTAGAGGTACACAGTGCCTTCAACAAAAGTAGTCACTTTTTTAGCCAGACAAAGGCTGACAATGGTCTTGTTCAATGGTGTATTCCAGTCCAGCAAGCTCATTTTTTTCAAATGTCCTTCTTTCCTTTCTCTGCATTATTTTGACAGCTGACAGGAAAGGAAACACAGTCCAGAAAATCACCAGAATGTTGATACTCTAGGGCTATTCAGTCAAATTAAATGTGTAAAAAATTTTTAAGCCATTTCTGAGATCAATTATATTTAAATAGAATATTCATCTAGTCCCAAACCAAGTTGAAAAAATCTTTTTGAGCATTTTCTGGACATCATCCCAACCTCTATATCAAAGTTTATGGTACTGCTATGAAGAACAACAGCTCATTATTAATATAACTCTTCTAATTAGAGTGTCTCCATCAAATAAAATCTCCCGAATGTGTTGTGAACAGATCATGTTTCAAATACCTAACTGCTGCTTTATGTGCTGCTTTCCTCTCTTTGTGCTTGCAAATGATCCAAATGATGTCACTGTCAACATATGCAACCGACCAGTAAGGTGTATAAGATTACAGTCCTTAAATTATGATTTTTTAAAATAATGTTAGAGCTTTGTTTTGAAACTTGATTGGAGCTTGATTACATGCTCATTGAATGGTAAACTTGCAATGAAAAACTATGCTGAGTAAGGTTTTAGAATTAAATGTTGTTGAACGTTTTTGGAATTATTTGGGTCCAACCAATTTTAAACCATCTAGTGACCTCAGAAAGCAGTTGAAGAAAATGTAAAAACACAGAAAAATGGCCACATTCATGGTAAGCAACTCAATTTAATAGATTAACCATGTCATGATCCAACAAAATGAGCTTTAATTATGAATATTTTTCCCTTTGTGGGCCAAGGTGGTACAATTAGCTTTAACTCACCAGTAATCAGAACAGTGACTGATCCAAGATGATTGATAATTATTCAGAATATCATCACAAAGGAAAATCCTAATTCATCACACAAGCAACATCTTCCCAAAGGTTGACCTGTTGATTATCTTATGATCTATTCATTTTACCTCTTCCCACCATTAAGAAAACCTTTCATTATCTTCCACTTACTCAAATGTCTGCAATAAAAATGCAGCGATTAAATACTTTCTAATTATCAATAAAACAAACAAGGCAATCCACAATTCAATGCGGTCTAAAATCATTGGAGTTTCAGGCTATTTCATATGCAAAGTTAGTAAATAACCACTAGAGGGAGGCAGGAAATCATACTTGCAATAGTACTGTAATTGATTAAATGCATTTTATGTATATTTCGTTCAAAGTTGTATAGGTGACAGTGTTAGTCATATGACGTCATTATGCTAAAAAGTACAGGTTAACAAGCATAACTTAGTTCTGACGTAAGTCTTTCATTCAGTGGTCAAAATGATCTTGCATTCTATGTCACGCCAGTGTTTACAGTCTACATGCACGCACACGAGCACACACTGTTCAGAAATACCGAAACGTTAGTTTTTTGCGACACTAAATTGAGGTGCACTTGCCGTAATTCTCTCACATCTTAAAAAAACGCACTTCCGGACGATTTTTAATAAAGTTATTCGTCCTGCTAAAGACGAGCTTTAGAGCGTCTCACGTCAAATAGTTACATCTCATAGTGTTTGGACTATTCTAAGACTAAGTGAATCATGACCCTTCGTCATTAAGGGGGACCCGTAAAGGGGGTGAAATAACAGGGAAACTGTTGTTGGGTCAATCAGACCAGCAGCAGGAAGCAGAGTCTGCTCCGGAAACCGTGAGTCTCACCTGCTGGCCCCATGAATGGAGCCCAAAGTCTAAACGCACAACAGGGTTAGATGTTTTCCCCTGGTAATATTTTCTTTTTGCCCTTTACAAACTAAATGAGAAAGCCTTTTCGGTTTGTTAGGCTGACTTCATTGCTTGTGGGCAGTTAATATTTATTCTGAAAACTTCTGTTGCAGGTGTTTTTATTGACATTACCAGTGGATTTATTGGGATTTATTATTAGGATTTTGTTGTAAACCCACTATGTGTAACACTGTGCAGACATATCTTTAGGATTGACCTGGATAATTATATTTCTACCTCCTGGGTAGGTATGCTCCACTCAACTGGATGTTGGAAAAGGGTGTTTCCTTACCATGGGATGGTGTCTGGCATTATCTTTTTTTTTTTTTTACCCAGGAAATGATTATCAGGAAATATAAAATGAACAACTTACAGATCTTTCTGAAACAGTTGTTGAATCTTCTAACACCATTTGCCTACAAAAGACTCCATGAAAAGAGGCCTACATTTTGAACCCTCCAATTGTCAGAGGAAGACTTAAAAAGCTGATATAATAACAAATGAATAAGGGTTTAGTTACTGATGAATTTATTCAACCTATACTGGTTACTAAATCAGTGTTCTTTAAAGGAAAGTGGGGTAATGGCTACCATTTCATGTGACAGATACAGCCTGTCCAGGAGGGGAGGAGGGAGTGAGGTGTCGGAAACGTGTGTGTGCTGTGTCTGAGTTGGGAGGATGGGGGGCTTGCAGTATTGATATTCAGTGGTGCTTCAGTCTGTGCTGGATGTAGCAGATGCTTTTATCTCCCCCTGGGACCCTGCTGCCTGTAAAACTCTGCTCGTGGTCAGTGATGTATGGGTGGCATGTTTATTTACACAGACAAACACTTACACTTAGGTTTTTATGAGGGCCTTCCCCAGTTCAATGAAAAACTGTATGCACAAGGCTTGTTTTTAAACCTGAGAAACCTAGCCTTTATTTTAATTCTTAAAATGACACAGTTCTGTGTTTTCCTTAAGAAGGCCATAGATGTACTGATTCTGCGTCACGGTTAGATGTTTCAGTCCAGATGGATTGTTCTGGTGTGGTTTTTTAAGGTTCTTTAACAGCCCCATTTCACTCATCTTAGTACCTTGTGTTTATTTTTGTTTGTTAAAATAAAACAGCTGCTGTCTATGAGAGAGAAAGGAACAGAAGCACTGGAAAGAATGCGCCTGTCTATATTTTCCCAGTTTATGGGTGCATATTTACTCAAATGTGGGAGGAAGCACATCCTCCGTGCATAATTCATTATCCACCACAGACTGTGTCGTGAGGTCATCATATAGTGAATGTGTATACATTATCTAAGGCACGTATGACAACACGCAAGTCAGAGGACTCTGGTGTTTAGGAGAGGCCGAGCAGATTCAAGTGCATCATGTTACCGGAGTTATTACAGGCTGTGTCGGGGGGAGAGTTACTGTGGCCATTATGCCATCATTTGAGTAATATTCCTTCCCCTGACTGGGGAAACTAGACTGGATATTTGTCCCTGTTGTACTCAATGGTATTTACCACACTAAAAACAACTTCCCAAGCACATAAACACAGCATTCGGGACAATGCACCAAACATCTATCTTTAATCTTGTTACACAATATTTTATTCCTTATCAATGTTTGATTTTCCTAAGAGGGTTGACTCCCTATTTTTTCAACTGTATAATTTCAAGATTGCAATCCAATGTAGACACGTGCACTGCTTATTTACTTGCTAAGGTGTCAATAAAATAATTAAGATGATCACATGTGCAGTTTAAGAGTTTAATCATTGTAGTTGTACAACATTAAAATAAATTACACATTGGTTCAAGATTAGATGGCTGGAGTCAATGATGTCTATGAACAGGAACTATAATATTGACAAACATTTGAAGTCATCTTAAAGGAAACGTTTACCAAAATCTACATTGCACCTCCGTTTCATAAATAGCTGACATTTTGCTCTAAGATTCATCATCCATGCACACAGATGTGTACTCTGTGCCTATGCTTTTGTACTCTATTGCCCCAGATTTGTAAATGGGGTGCAAATTCCCAAATAACCCCTCTTTTGAGAGCAAAATGTTGTCTCTGTGTGTGCAAAGCAGTTCTGTGCTATTGCTGGGATGTTGTTGTCTTTTGATTGAACCTTGAACCTCAGTTTAGTGTCAAGTTTAACTATTCCAAGTTCTAAAGCAAATGATGCGGATCCAATTATTGTTTAATGAGTGCATTACACTGTATCATGCACAGTCAGGGAAAGACAGTTGTGTAATAAAAGTAAGCATGGAACTGTTTTTGTTTCTGTAAATTTGTCAGAGTTGTATTGAGGAGTTAATGAACCATGTTAAAAGGTTGAATTATTTCATAATCATAGTACTCGTCTACTAATATCTAGAGAGAATTATGAATATTTATTCAGTGGAAACTGTTTCACTACCAGTTTGTCTTGTGAATGGATAGCCAGGGATTAATGTGACCATATGAAGTCATATTAAGTCTGTTGCACACATTAAATACAGTTTATTTAAACCTCTCACAGGTTTAAAGTTTAAATCATTATATTGCGTAGATTGTGACACTTTTTGGTGAACTTGTTATTATTCCAGGCTACTTTCATCAGTGTTGCTGTACAGTTAAGGTGATATGGCCTCTTTATTAGTGCAGATCTTATTCTTATCTGTTGAAATGCCCCTCATGTTTACTTTCAAAACTACTACTGATTGTATATTTTCAATTTCTAAAAGAAAAAAACTGTTTGACTGGAAGGGATGATGAAACAATGAATACACCAATACTAATCAGACACTGTGTCTCTCAAATCTCTACAGCAGCATAAAGACATAACCTGAGGTGATTGTCGGTCCTCCGGCTGAAGAGTAGAGCCCTTTGGCATGACTGTTGATCACTCTGCCTCCAAACGGGAGGTAGACAGAATGATTAAGAACAGAAGATCCCAAATGTCTTAAGTGGTGGATGGTGTCTTTGAAATTTGTGCTCTGTTTATCCCAAAGGAAACATTACACTTGGTTTTTAAAAGTCTCTCTTCAACTGACCCAGATATAACCCAAGCATCAAGCAGTTACGTGCACATTTGTGTTCAGGA